GTTTTTTTTCCTTTGTATTATTGTAGTGGACACTTTTTTGGGATTTTTGCTGTACGTGTCCCGAATATGAATAAATAAATAAATAAAATGGTAACTTTTTGTCCTCCATCATGTTATCGGATGAATCTACATTTTGTTTAAACGGCCAAGTGAATCGACATAATTGCAGACACTGGTCTGAAAGCAATCCACATTGGATGGAACAGATACACACCCAACGTATACAAAAAATTAATGAAAAACTATTTTATTATTTGTTTTCCGATTCTGTTACTTGCGTTACTGTTACGGCTACTTACTGTCACTTACTTTCAATAAATTTTTTAAGGGCCGGTTGTACAATAGACCGATAAGCTTCCCGACTGCGTTATCTGGCCGATAAGTTAGTTTGTACTGTATTACAATGTACGGATATTTTTGTCGGTGAGATTATCGGCAGGATAACTTATCAGCGGTTAACTTATCAGCTTATATTAACTTGTCAGCCGATAAGACAATTATCCGCCAGATATATATGGTTACCAAAGCTTTTGTATAAAAACTTTGTGTGGTTACTGCATAGGTTAACCTATAATACCTTATACGTACGTTCTCATGTGTGTGTCGTGAAAACATTTTTTAAACAACTGTTTTTATTGCGTTACCAACCTACGGCATGAATTACTACGACTCCTATTTCGCCAATAGCAATCCTACCGAGAAAAACAGGTTTTTCAATAGCGAATATCTTTATCTTGCCTATAAATTTATTGGTCGAATAGTTATCAGGTAGATTTATCGGTATATTGCCCTTGATAAAAGTACACTATGAAAGAACAAATGATTGTAAATTTTTGTGCCACGTTTGCATAGGCGCCTCTTTTTGACAATACGTATGGGTGCTCTCAAGTATATAATACATAGGTGAATACCATAGGTGGTTAAACATAGGTACCGTAGGGCAAACATTTTCTAATCTGATAAAAAAATTAAGCTTATTTTAAACATATTAAACATTAAACGGAAGAATTATTCTAATAGAAATTAACTATGACAACTTAAAAAATATTTATTCTAATAGAAACGTGTTTAGCCTCTGACTGTATCGTTGAATAAATATGCTTGCAATTTCGTCAAGAATTATTTCCTTTAAAATGTCTTTATGTGAAATGTCATATAACGTAGTCGTTCTTAAAAATGTTTTTAATCTGCGTAAATTTGAATAGCTTCTTTCAGAAGTACAAGATGTTAACGGAATAGTAAAAAATAATTTTAGAACTTTGAAAAACTTTACAAATAAATCTTTTAAATGTTCATTTTCATTAAAATATTAAGCTATTTCCGATACTGAGTGAAATTCCTGTCCCTTACTACAATTGAAAAACATGTTTTTATGTAAATATAATCGTTTTATGTCAAAATCGGCATTATAGTGCTTCTCAATCACTCCAGTATTTTTGCTTTTCAACAAAAACGTTTCAATATCTTTGGCTCGTTTTATTCCATCGAAATGAAAGCGGTTGTTGATATTTTGAATACATGAATCTATGACTTTGTAATACAAAGATCGATAGAACTCTTTAGGTGAACTAAAGAAATGTTGATTTTTTGATCCGCCTAATTTAAGAGGAATTTTTCTCTTTCTTTGCAAAGCTGATTCATCAATATTAAAATTATCCTTTTCATTAACAATTTGTACCCATAGAGTTTCAAAACTATTTTGTTGAGCCTGAAGCGATTTAGTTAGACAGTCTATGTTTTTCATTGCATCTGCAATGTTAAGATTAACCTTCTGAATATTAGTACTCAAAAGTTCAATATTTTCAAAAACGTTTATTAATACTTTTAACAAATGTATTTTTTCGAGAAAACCATTTGCTTTTGCTCCTTCCTCACTTTTTTTCATTACTTTGGGTAGTCAGAAATGCACCTATTTCCTCATAATTGTCTAATAAAAATTTTAAAGATGTGATACGAAGATACCATCTTGTAGAACAGAACGGTCTTAAAGACGATGAAGCATCTTCGGTGTTCATTTTAATATGTTTAAAATATTTAATCTTTTTGATGAATCACGAATATAATATAAAATATCTTTGCAATATATTAAAAAATTTCGCACCATAGGTATCCGATAAAGGAACTTTGACAAGCAAGTTAAGATGGGTTATGCAGTGAACATAAACAGCTCGTGGTTTATCATTAGCTATTCTTTTTTTGTAAGCCTGAGAGTGCACCACTTACATTTGCAGCTCCGTCATAGCATTCACCTCGTAGAGATGTTATGTCCAAGCCATATCTTATAAAAACGTCTTTTACAACATAATATAATGTTTGCGAATCAGTAAAAGGCGCTTCATAAAGTCCTAAAAAGTATTCAGATATTTCTAGGTTGTCGTTAAGAGTTCTAAAACAAATAGAGAGTTGTTCTTTTTTTACAATATCTTTTGTTTCATCTGCGATTATAACAAATATTTGTTGTTTAATCTTAGCTACTACACTCAGCGGCATAAAAAACGCATCACCTAAAATTATGACCAGTTTCAAACTGCAATAATTTTTGAAAGTATTGCTCGATTTGAATAAGGTTTTCTGAATAAAGTCATAGATGTCGCTGAAATTTAATTAAACTGTGATAAGTAAATCAAACAAAATGTCCCCTCACTTGAATGGCATCCCTCATCCTTCGAGGCACACTTCAAATCAGGTTTTGAATTTCATTTTGGGGAATTTGGTTCCATTCTTCTTCTAGCGCTATTCAGAGATCATCTAGCGTTTGTGTAGCAGCACCATGGGCTCTAACTCGTCTCCCTAGCATATCCCACACGTGTTCTATGGGGTTTAAATCAGGGCTACGTGCAGGCCTATTCATTCTGTTGATATCCAAATCATCTAGGTATTGGGACACTGGACACAGGTATCGTGCATGAAGAAGAAGTTGTCACCAATAAATGGGCAGAAGGGAACCACGTGTTCAGCCAACATTTCTTCTATATACCGAGCCGCGTTTAGATTGCCGTTGATAAAGCAAAGCTCGGTACGTGCTTCGTAGCAGACTTCTCCCCAAACCATTACAGATCCTCTTTGATGTTGTATTCTTTCAAAGAAGTTGCACTGAGCATAACGCTTTCCTGCTCTTCTCCGAACTCTCTCTCGACTATCTGGAGAGTACAAGCCGAACATCGACTCGTCTGAAGGTGGTCCCACACGACTGGTGTAATTGGCAAGTACGCAAGTGGGCAAATATTTGTGTAAACATTGGCCTTCCATCGTAGACCTTCGTGTAACATAAAAAATGTGATGTGAGCTCTCAGACGCTACGCAAGTGTATTTGAGTAGACGAATATTTGCCAAGTACACCAATCGTGTGGGACCACCTTAATGTTATTATAAAAGATTCATTTAATCTTGAATTGGTCACTGATTTGGACATAGAGAAGATTATTCGCTCAATAAGAAGGAATGCTGCAGAACTCGATGGGTTAAGCATTAGAATGATCAATTATTCTTACCCACACATAATTCCTTAAATAACAGATGTTGTTAACTCCTACATAGCAAACTGTCAATTTCCTAATGTTTGGAAAAAGGCGAAAGTGATTCCTTTGCAAAAAAAGGAATTCTGATTAATTTGCTGACCTACGTCCGATCAGCATCTTACCGGTGTTGTCCAAGGTGTTAGAGAAAATTATGTGTGAGCAATTAAGGAAGTTTGTCTATAGAAATGAATTATCACCTGAGGTGCAATCTGGCTTCAGGTCGGGACATAGCTGCACCACCGCATTGTTGAACATTGTGGATGACCTTCAAGGTGGTCCTACACGACTGGTGTAATTGGCAAGTACGCAAGTGTTCAAATATTTGTGTAAACATTGGCCTTACTTTGTTAATTTACGTGTAACATAAAAAGTACCTATAACGATGTGAGCTCCCAGACGCTACGCAAGTGTATCCGAGTAGACGAATATTTGCCAAGTACACCAGTAGTGTGGGACCACCTTGAGAACAGTACAGTTCGCCAATCTGCATTGGTCCACTGAACATGATTACATACAACATGATTATAATAGAGCAACACGATGTTCTCGAAGCAACTGTAGTCCAGTTGCTGGTCTCTGTGATCTCAACCCCGCTTCTTCAAATCTCTTTCTTACTGTACACTCTCGAATGCAAAATAAAATAAGCTTTCGAATGATGTCAATGTTGACTAGTGGTACTATTTAATACTATCTTGAAAAGTTAGACAGTTAAATAGTTGAAAATTTTGTTAACAAAGATTTTGTTTAGTCAAATTCAAATATCAAATTTCATGTTGATCCGAGAAGTGCATTTGGAGATATTAAGCCAGTTCCATACTTAATGAACACCTTGTATAACAAAATGTGCAACAGCACTTTTTTAAGAACACCTACAAAGTTTTTAAAGGTCAAAATCCAAAATCTTATTAAATCATAATTTCGGTATTAAAATTGTTGAATTGAGTTGGACAAGAAAACTAACATCACTTTTTCATTTACCTTTAACATTTAAACTTAACAATTATCTCTGCATAAAAAGTTTTCCATTTTTAAATTAAATGAAAAAAGTAAAACGTTAAAAAACAGTGAAAGTTGGATGCTTATTAGAATAAATCAACTGGTGTAATTGACCCGAAGGTAGAGCGTACTGAATAATAAAAAAAAATGTTCCGATCTAGTAAAGCACTTTCTCCAACGCACCCAAATCGTTTAAACATTAAATGAAACTCTCCATTAGCATTTAATACATTTACCGTTTAATTTAATATTCAAATCGCGATCATTATTAACACATTCAGAACAAATAATTAAATTGTTTTAACACAAAATTAACATGTAGTCAATTTAATTCTGTGGTAATTAATTTTCTCTCTAATTAAACGTTTTCCTTTTTAACTATCACCTTCAAATTATGTTGCAATAAGAAAAACTGGTAGAAATTCATTAAAAATAAATTATAATTAAATCTTGCAAAAATCATACAGAATTTCTTTTTATTAATAGGTCAATACAAAGTAGAACATTTAGATAAAGTATCTAAAGCTCTTTACGAAGAATATGGTGACATCGTTAAAGTTGATGGTTTATTAGGAAAACCAGATATGTTATTTATTTTTAATCCAGATGAAATTGAAAATGTTTTTCGACAAGAAGATTCGATGCCTTTAAGACCATCAATGCCATCGTTGAATTATTATAAACACGTGTATAGAAAGGATTTTTTTGGCGAAGAAGCTGGAGTTATTGCAGTGTAAGTTTCACTTATCAACCACTTTAATTACAACACTGGCGAACAAAGCATTTTTTATTTTTCTAATTTATAATTATAATGGAAGTAATTCGTGGTTTTTATTAGAAAGCTGATTTCAAAATTATTATTTTAGACATGGTGAAAATTGGCAAATATTTCGCTCGAAAGTCAATAAAATCTTATTACAACCGAGAATTGCTAAAATGTACATGAAACCAATTGAAAAGGCTGCTCAAGAATTTGTTGAAAGGTAAAAAAAGAAATTAATAAATTCGTGTTAATAAAAATTGTTTTAGAATTGAAAAAATTAAAGATTTAAACCAGGAAGTACCTGAAAATTTCTTAAATGAAGTGCATAAATGGTCGCTGGAATGTAAACAATTATAAATGAGCAAGATTATGTATTTTAATAACAAATTTTTTAGCAATTGCAAGTGTAGCCCTTGACGTCCAATTGGGATGTCTTCAAGAAAATTGCCCGGAAGACACACAAATTTTAATCGACGCTGTCAACGAATTTTTTGTTAATGTTCCAATTTTAGAATTAAAAACACCATTTTGGACTTTTATGAAAAATCCAATGTATTACCCAACTTTTAAACGCTATATTGAAGCTTTAGAAACAATAAGAAAGTAAAAAAATCACTTAAAAACTCATAAAATATCTAAATCAATTTAATTTTAGAATTTGCTTAAAATACATCAACAAATCATTAGAAAACGCATCATTAAAACAAAACCAAGAACCATCAGTTTTACAACGAGTTTTAAAAATGGATAATAACATTAAAACGGCTTGTATTTTAGCGTTGGACATGTTTTTAGTTGGAATAGACACGGTAATTTTTTCTCATAAAAAATTATTGGAGAAAAGAAATTTTACGATCACTTTTTAATCTTAATGATGTGGAGTAACAAGTAACATTTCACATTTCGTTTTTTTTCTATACCATCAAAGTGAAAGTAAATTGCTCTTCCTTCGTCTATTTTCTCGTGTATCTAATTTTAAGGCATGACTCAAGAGCACAATTGAAAAATGATAATCTCTATGATGAGATCTTTCTGAATTCGTGCTTGAAAAGAGAAAGTAGTACTAGGTTTGAATGGGAGGTTATTACCGATGCAAATCATAATCATTTTACGACGTTATCTGAATAATAATAACAATAATGAGAAAATATTAATTTCTGATTTTACTGTGGGTTTCAATTTTTGTTAGTATTCCGATAATAACATTTTTTATTTGGCTTTCGCTAATAGAAAATAAACTCCTGGACAAAATTAATGCACCACTTTATTAAACGTAAATAATTAAATTATTAAGAATATAATAAAATCAAATTAGAATGGAAGCTTACAAATAGGATTTATAAAATTGGTTGAAAAAGCAATCAGCTTAATACAATGTGTGAGATATGAAAACGCAAATCAAAATGAAAAATGTTTAAACAATCGAATGAAAGAATCCAGTGTGACATTAATACCTTGTAGGTCCTCCTCTACTCGTAATTACCGCATTCATATACGCATGCTAGCGACTAAATTTTGAATTGTATCCTGGGCAATATTGTCTCATTCTTCAATTACTGTATCCACCAGTTGATTGTGGTTGGCAGGTGGGAGTCTACGACCACGGACCTTTCTTTTAAGATAATCCCGTAAGTGCTCTATGGGATTGAGATCGGGACTGTTAGGCGGCCAATCCATGAACTGAATATCAACAGCATGCAAGTAGTCAATAACCTGTCTAGCCACGTGAGGACGTGCATTATCTTGCATGAATACAAAATTAGGGCCCAAAAAAGGAGTAAATGGCATTACGTGTTCAAGTACAATGTTTTCCAGGTAATAATCCGCATTCACAGACCTCGCACGTATAGAGACCAACGCTGTGCGAGCGTTAATGCAAATGGCTCTCCAAAACATTACAGAACCGCCACCAAACGGCACCCTTGCAGCAATTTTACAGCTTGCAAATCTCTCTCCCTGTCTTCGCCATACACGCTCACATCCATCAGGAGATTTTAAGCTAATCCTCGTTTCGTCAGAGAATAAAATCTTTTTCCAATCATTAACAGACCAATGTTGGTGATTTCGGGCAAAACGCAATCTTTGAACTTTGTGCTCTCTGGTAAATAATGGTTTTTTGCTGGTGTCCTGTTCTTTAATTTGGCTTCATTTAAACGTCTTCTGATTGTTTCAGACGATATTGCAACATTGCACACGTCTAATAGCTGATTTTTTAACACATTACTAGTGATTGTCCGATTTCTAAGAGCGGATACTCGCAGAAAACAGCCATCCCTTTGGTTGGTACATCGTTTTTGTCCTTGCCCCGATCTTCGTATGTGAGATCCAGTTCCGATAAACCGTCTAATCATACGACTTATGCTGGAATGATTGCTTCCTAACACATTAATAATAATAATAATATTTATTGGCACGACCCACATACTTTACATATTTAATATAAAAAAAAATCAAACATGAATATACAAAAAAAAAATTTACAAAAGCAATATATATATCAATATAACGGGGTTGCAACCAAATGGACTGCGTTTAGCTCGTAACATAGTCACGATCCACTCCTCCACGCAGCCCACAGAAAAAAAAGAAAAACTATAGATAGATAACAATATAGATGGATTAAGCTAAATACCTCAAACAGCTTTTGAACAGAACCACCAATTGACCAATTTGAACACATTGAACATTGCAACACCTAACGAACCCACCCTCACCGCATCTCAGAAGCGATTTTAACTACAGTTTATAACTTTAAAAACAAAATATTCTTTGTCAATATTTGTTTTAAATGTCAAAGAAGATCCATAAAAAATACTGGAAAATTGTAAGTGGTGCGTTAATTTTGTCATGGAGTTTATATACAAGTTAAAACTTTATGAAAAAGATTATAATTTCTACGTTTGTTAAATATTTTCCGTCAACTATTAGAGATTTGCTTGATATTCGCTCTAGGTTTATATTAAAGCTTATAGTTTATATTATAATGTGAACACTCTTATTGTAAGTAGTGATCTGAATCTAGTGATGGGTAAATATTTTTTTTTTTCTAAATACCCTAGGAATATACCCGGCATTTACCCAAAATGGGAATATACTCGGGTAAATAAAGTCCAAAGACTGACTCTTAAAATAAATGTATGTTGCATGAAAAACATAACATATATTCGGTAACAAAAACGTATTCCTATCAAAAACATTTTAACTCTGAAGTCAAAATAACGATTACATAATTATTTCGAAACCTTGTCTGCATTTTGGACCTACAGTTTTTCGCCGGAATCGGATGACCAGTTAATGACAGGCTCAGGCGCAGTCGTCAGCCTGACGTCTGTTTCGTCTTCGGTATCGGACTCTGTATTCTGGATTCTGAATTCGCGGGAAGGCAGGCTGAACCGCCCGCAGCACTTTGACCTCAGCAGGTCCCTTGTACTTACGTCCCTCTTTTGGTCAGCATTAGGAGGGCCACGCAGTCGCATAGAATGTGTTCCGCCGATTCCTCCTCCTCACCGCATCCTCCAGAGTTGTCGGTGTCACTTATTCTCATGTTTAGTAAGTGCTTCTGTAGATGCCATTGTCCAGTGATTAGACCTATGACTAAACGTAGGTTCTTCCTGGACAACCTCATAAATAAATCTGTTCATTTAGAGTTAGGGTACATCAGAGTTTCCTTGGCTTGGCGACATCCTGGTGTCCTGTCCCAGTAGTTTAGAAACTTCTAAACTAAATTAATTTAAATAAAAAAATTTATTAATTTACTAATTAACACAAAATTACAGCAGTTGTTCAAAATGAGAACCGCTGAAGATGAGATCCTTCGTGTTATAAAATGTTGCTAGTTAATTTCTTTAGCGAATTAGTAGCTTCAACTATTCTGTCAATCAACTCTTCGCGTGTATCTGGTTTACCATTACTACTATACGTACGAGATTTGAGGCAACCCCACAGAAAATAATCTAGAGGCGACAAGTGAGGTGACCGAGCTGGCCAATGTACAGGACCATCGTCCTGGACCTCGTCCTATCCACCTTTCCGGAAAATTTTGATTAAGAAATACCGTCACTTGTCTCCCAAAATGTGATGGTGCCCCATCTTGCTGGAGCCACATCCCAAGACGAGCTTCTAGAGGACTATCTTCTATGTAATTCGGCAATTCTTCTTCCAAAAAATGAAGGTAAATTTCTGCACTAAGACGTCTTTCAAAAGAATGAGGCCCAACAAGTTGATTATTCAACAAGCCGCACCACACGTTGACGGAAAAACGATATTGATGGTTAACAACGATTGCTTCGTGTGGGTTTTGATCCGTCCAGATGTGAGAATTATGTGTGTTGTTAATACCATTCCTTGAAATCTAGGCCTCATCCGTAATGCAGGAAGTAAATGCTGAACTTTCTGTAAATGATAGGGATAAAGTCCATCGTAGTGCAGAATTCTCCATACGTTGGTTTGAGGAATTCCCATTGTATAGGATATTCTACGAATACTGGGAGAAGCAATTCGTTCAACTGCATTTAAAACTGCTTCAGACAGCATAAAAATCATTAATTTATCAAACGTTAAATCGTCAAGACTAACTATCACTTTTTTTAATTCCTTCGATATCGCGGAAATAAAGAGGAATTCAGGTATAAGTATTTTTTGATCGTAATGACTCTCGGAATATATGGTATAAGTTTGTCGGTCGAGTCACGGAACACCCTGTATTATAATTTTTTTGTTACTAATGTTCTTGGAAATTTCCTCAGCCGCCAGAGAAATGGCCACCAGCTCCGCTTGGAGCGCGATGAGCCAAATTCCCAGCGGTTTAGAAACTTTTATTGTTGGTTCGACGGAATAAACCCAAAACGAGTGCTGCGTGATGCGACGAACATCTGCTCACTTCAATAAGATGTGCAAAAAACTCGAACAACCCAAATTTAAAAAAAAACAGTCAACACGCACAAGCCGGAGAACAACTTCTGGAACAAGAGAGAAGAGGCTGATGAAAATACGAAACGAAAAGAATTGGAACAAACGATGACAAACAACACAACGACAACAACGCAAACAATAACACAGACGAACTTAAAAGAACACTGGGGGAGATGTACTCTGAATTTGCCTTCACAAATCCTATAGAAAAACAAATGAAAACATTCTTCGTAAAGACAAAGAAAATAATTAAAATATACAACCATTAATGAGAAACGACAAATATACAAAATCTCTAAAAGTAGCATTCTGGAAGGCAAACAGCATAAGGCTGAAAAAAACCAAACGACTCTCTTCCTGGAAGAACACAAAATTGACGTATTACTGGTCTCTGAGACATCACTGAAGCCTTGCAACCGATTCAACATACAAAACTACAAAGTCTATCGAAGGGATCAACCCGGCGGAGAAAAGGAAGAGGCACAGCAGTTATCCTGTCAAATCAAATCAAACACGAAGAACTCCTAATCGCGAACATCACACACCTCAACGCAAACGGCATCAAAGTTAATACCAAGAAGGGAGATATTAACATATTTGCAGCGTACTAGCATCATCAGAAAAACTAGTAGAAGAAGAATTTAAAGAAATACTTTGCCCAAACAAAGCGTCAATCATAGCTGGTGATTTGAACTCCAAGCACCCAGACTGGAACAGCAGCGTCACAAACACACACGGCATAAGATTAAAAAACCTTGTCGAAGACGTAGACCTTGGTCATCGACCCAGAAGGGCTAACTCATATTCTTTACACAGCGAACAGTTCTTATAAAAAACTTATATAATAGAATAACAATCAAGATAATAAATGAGCTCTTCTTAGACTACTACCCAGTAGTAATGGAAGTAGAAGTCCAACCAGAAAATCAAAAACAACTAATCAAAACCACCGACTGGAAGAAGTTTAAAGAAATAATAAAAACCAAGAAGACACAGATCAATTCAACATTAAAATTAGAAACAGCAATAACAAACCTTGAAGAAGGCACAGTAGATGCGCCAGCAATATCGGCAATAAGCAGGACAACAATAAATCCATACAAAACTCAACTCTCACATGAATTAAAACAGAAATGTGTGGAAAAGAAAAAACTCATACGAGAAGAATACGTAAGAACAAGAGGCCCAAACACCAAGAATAAACTTAATAGAATCACAACGGAAATTCACAAAAACATTAACGAAGTAAACCAAGACAAGTGGTACAAAAAAATAAAAACCTAACAACGGAGGACCAATCACTTTGGATAATGACAGCAGCACTAACTGAGAAAAGGAACAAACAGACGATCCCACAACTAAAATCCGAAAACAGAATTTCAACGACAGACGAAGGGAAAGCAAATATCTTTACTGCCGCTTTCAGAAAACAATTCTGCCCGAACCCCATCGTAGCGCAGGTAAAAGATCAAGACTTCTACGACAACATAGAAGCAATGATTAACACGAAAACGACACGGATCAAACAATCGAACCTGTCGGACAGAAGAAATACAGCAAATAATCAAAGATCTAAAAAACAGAAAAGCACCTGGCATTGAAGGCATACCAAACGAGGCACTAAAGCAACTCCCGGCTGACAGCATAGACGAAATAAAAACTATAGCTAACGCAATAATAGAACATGGATATTTTCCACAAACATGGAAAAAAGCAATCACAATAGTAACACACAAAAAAAAACAAGCCAAAAGATGAGCCAACCTTCTACAGACTTATTAGCCTTCTACCCTACACACTGGAGCGGTCTTTCTGGACATTGAAAAAGTTTTTGATAAAGTCTGGCAAGCAGGCCGAATCTATAAAATGAAAAAGCAAACATATCACCAAGACTAACCAAAATCATAAGGTCATACCTTCAAAACAGAAATTCCACGTCAAAATAGGAAATACAATTTCGGAAGGAACAGAAGTAGAGGCCGGAGTCCTACAAGGCTCCGTCCTAGGCCCAACGCTATTCAACATCATATTTCGGACATTCCAACGCCAACCAGTTCGTCCAGTCGTCCAGTTTGCAGACGACACCGTAATATACACCACGGGCAGGAATCATTCATTAAAAACCGACTACAAGAAGCTACTGATACCATGATGAAATACATGAATACATGGAGGATTGAGTAAATGAAGAAAAAACAGAAGCAGTCATGTTCATACACAAGGTCACCAAAAAATCCAACCCCGAAAAAATTTTAATAAACGGAAAAGATATAGAGTGGAAAGCTCAACCTACTTAAACACATGGAAGAAACAAAAAAAAGTAAGAGGATTAGCAGACAACTCCACCCAATCATCAATGGATGCAACAAACTTAATATTGTGAACAGAATAAATATTTTCAAGGTAATCATCCTACCAGCGGCCACCTACGGAGGAGCGTTATGGAACATAGCCAGCAAAAGCGGAATAAATCAACTGCAACAAACAACAAGATTCTAAGAACATGGTAACCTTCATAGTTTAAACAAATCATAAAAATGAAACACCACTACAACCCAGAGATACAAAAAGCAACTCTAACAAAACCCATAAAAACAGACAAAAGAGACACAGTAGCGCAAGAGGGAATCAGAAAACATCGGCTTAAAATCCAGAAGGAGGCTACAATTTGCCAATTTAAAATCCAAACACTACCGGAGAAAGTTTCAAAGTGATTTTATTTCCTGATCTTGAGTTTTTCCTTGGCGAAATTGAGTAAGACAAGCGTAGATGATGAAATTTTCGAAGTTACCCTCATAAGTATTAATTGCATCCACATTTTTGTACACAGTACTTGTCTCGATATAATAATAATTTATTGTTTCAATACTTATAACCAGAGCCTGGACAGTGATCCTAAAACACCTCCCACTCCAGTCTCAATATTCAATGAATTAAATCGAAGCGTACACTTATCAAGGCATTCGCTTAGTATGGA